GGTAGCATCTATAGCTTACCTGATGCAGTATCCCAACAAAACGTACGAAGCTTCGGTTCATTCCCGAAAGCCTGTGAGAAAATTCGGTGATACAAGTTATCATGGTGGAGAGATTGGGTTTGTCCAAAAGCACATCGAGCTAAGACATCAGAGGTATGATTTTGGAATAATCTAAAAATAAACTGACTACCAGGTACATATATATGAATGAGATAGATCCTAAATCCTACATAAGCAAGATACCAAAAAAAAACTAACAAAAAACCTACTCACTTATGCGCTTCCACTGTTCTCTGTATTGGTAGTTTTTCTACAAAGTTCAAGAAACTGAAAACAGACTCTTCAACGATGGGAAAGAGCTGAAAAAGCAGAACTCTTATTTATTGTTCTCTAGAAGGGATGGAGTATCGCCTTTCTAGCCGTTGTCTGGTTAAGCCTGCCAACTAACCTGTTTCATATTTTTCGCAGACATTGCTTGACTTGTGATTGCTCTCATTCTCTTCCATCGTGCTCCGCTAGATGCGAACATATGGACCATCTCGGCTGACACGGGATCCGGATCAATGGGCACCGGCTGCATGGTATCGTATTATAATTAAGAGACATAGCCCTAACGAAATTTGGGGCATGTACCATTTTGCCATGAAAATTGCTGAAAGATTTGAGAGAAATATCGCGGATTACGTCGACATCACTAGTAATGACCGTGGGAAGGCCTCCTTGCATGACTCCATAGACGGGACCATATTGTTTGGAAATTTCCCCAAAAGTAAATATAGCATTGGGAGACTGAAACACCCCAAAATTTTCTAGAATAAGATGTCGTGCAGGCAGTACGGGGAATCCACAGTTCAGCAAGATACTTTGATCATAACGGCGCCTTGAAAAATTCAAAAAGTAAGAGTAAGTATTACAGTATCGTAAAATCGTTGAAATAAAGATTACCTGCGAGTAAGAAATAACAGTAGACACACTGCTATAAAGAGTATTACAATAATCATATCTCATACCCAATTCGGTCAGTTCCTAATAAAAACATTGAAATCGTCAAGATGCCGTAGAAAAGTCGAGCGCCTTATGGCAAGAGCACGG